ACTGAGGTAGTCAATACTTTTTATCTTTAACTTATGTTTATGAAGGATAGATTTTTATTTTCTAATTGTACTTATATTCTAAAAATACTAAAACGAAGAAAAAATGACGTGGACAATGTCGATATTTAAATATACTATTTACGAAAATATACGGACTTCAAAATTTATAAAAAACTATAAAAGAACAGAATAATTTTGAAGTGTTGTAAAAATGCTATCATTAATGAAAACTATACCAAGTGAAGATATAAAATTGTTTTTTTTATGTAGAAAAATATAGACGCTGCTATAACCTGTAAAAATCTATATTTTCTTAATGGTTGTGTTGGTTATGGTTATGGATATTATGACGACGACGTTGGTGATGGACTGCCTCGAATCTGTTAAGCTGAAATTAATAACAAAATTAAATTCTTTAATATCATTTTAGTGTTAATTTAAACTTAATATATTCATCTGAGTAAAAAAATTACCTCTGCAAAACGTTCTAGTCGTTCAATATTTCCGTTTAATCGAAAAAAATTTAATGCTTCTTCCTAAAAAACGAATTATACAGTTATTTAAAAGAAGAGATAAATGGAAACATTCTTCGATTTAAACTTGATCTTAAATAATCTCTACGACTATTGATTTTTAATCACTATTGATATGTGAACTTAATCCGATTAGACTATGGGGCCCTAAACAATCACTTCCTTTAGATTAATCGGGTCACACTCTCAGCTTAGCTTTGCATATGACACGACTGATCATTTTACAATGTGTTGAATACGATGATTGAACTGCACCAAAACAACTAAAGGTAATTAGTAAATGTGTATACAGGCACATTATAAATAGGAAAACCCCGGTACCGCATATGATTACAATAACTTCAGAAAGAAAAAAGAACGCAAATTAATCCATCGCAATTTTTACATTGAATTAGAAGTCAACCTTTTGGTATTCATATGCGGTAAACGAAAATTTGATAAAGGATATCAACCACGAGGATATATGGTGGCGAAACAGATGTTGTGCTAGATTTTAGTTGATAATTGTACGCTTTCAAACGTTGACTTGAAGAAATTTAAATTAACGTATGGTTATGTTACTGTTACGTTAGAAAAATATTAAAACAAATATCAATAAGGCTGCAGGATTTAATTTATTTTAAGAATATGCAGTTGTAGGTGTATGTGAGCTTTCATAAAATAAAGATGGAATTTGGGATTGACGTTGGCAGTTACAATTCTAACTGGGGTGAGGTTATCTTGCATGATATCAACGCGTTAGATTCATTTGTATAAACTTAAATAACTAATTCTACAAGTAGATTTATCTGTGCTGTTAGGGGCTACAGTAGTAAAACGAATAATAGACCTGAACATTGGATTATTCGTAGGAAAACTATAAAATTTATATGCAGAATTACGAATGGTATGTTCACAATTATGGACACAACACTTATAAAATGAATTTTTCGCTTCATTATTAAGATCAGTTGATTAATAATAAATAGAATAATGACTAATAACACAGACGGTGCTGACGTAGATTGCGCTCGTAGCGAATAGCACCGTGTGAAATTACCAATTGCTAAGTGTAGTATCACGGTTAACAGCGCGACCTTTCCTGGTCGCCACCGGGGTCCAAGCAGACTTCCGACTATACAGCCCGTTTGCAGCGCTACATTTCTGTGGCGTGGCTGAGTGTGAATTCCTAATGCTCCTCATTCAAAAATCTAGCTCTGCTGAGTCACCTTATGTACAGTAGCTCTAAGACACCGCTGCCTGATTTTGTAACTATAGTAGCACGTAACCGTTTACCCAGACGCAAAAAGTCCCAGGCTGAAATTGTTTATTTACGGTACGCTTAAAAAATAATCACCTCCTTTGTACCGCTCAAATGAAAGTTTAGGAAACTTATCAGATAATGACGAAATTGTAAAATGTCTTTTGACATTTACTTTTTTATCAACCATTTGTACCAAATTTTTAATAATAACAGGACACCCACGTTCCTCATCGTGAATATTCTTAGAGCCATCTTTAAAAATTCAAACCCATTTCCGTTTCATTCCATCGTCCAGTAACTACCACATATTACTAAATTGGAAGAAACATCTGGGTGATCAGTCAAAAACGGTCGTATTACAGTGGTTGCCAAACTAGACAGACAGCAGATTTCTATGAGCCAGGGTTAGAAAAACCCTAACATTGGTAGGAACTACATAGAAAAGTAGATTAAGATACATGCTTACATGTAAAAATGTTTTTTTTTTATTTCAAAAGGGAACTTAAAAATGCTTGCCTTGTATATGCCCTAATTTTCCTGTTATTTAACAATACAATTTAAAATGATTTTTGGATGAATGCTTGTATTGTAAATTACTATGTAATTTACCTGTAAGATTCGCTCTGCTTCATTCATCACAACAAATGGATCCACATGTGGTGGCACATTATTCGATTTCCTCCTATTTTTGATTTTATAATGTTTTTGGAGATCAGCAGTGGGATCAATTTTTAAATTTTCTTTTCCTAATTCTGCTTTAGCCTCATTAGCACTTTTTAATATATTTTCAACATGTAATTTATCAGTGTCGCTGTATAATGGACACCTAAAAGGAGATAAGAAAATATAAAAAAAAATTCATAAATTTATAGGCAATAAAAATTTTCCCTATAAAAAACAATTATTGCAAAGGTCCTACTTACTTCCGATTACAATTAAATTTTTTTCAGATTTTCTTCATAACCTGAATATTGTCATTAATTATTTTAATTTTTACAAATAAAACAGAAGGATAATATTCTCAACAACATACATATATTCAAGCTTCTTTATAGAAGCAATAATTCAAAGTTCTATCTTTGTCAGAGGAACTCCTGATGATGCTAATCATACATGTTATGGAAACGTATAAGAATATTCTTTTAAAACGACGGCTAAAAACCGCAAATAGAAACACCACTCGGCTTAACGACATGGAAATATAATATAAAAACAATATTTTAAATTCAAAATATGATTCGTATATTACTGATGCAGTCTTTAAACAAATTTAATTTTAATTTACCATACTTTTTTTATAATTCAAAAATAATAAATAGATAACCTACGCACAAATAACAACAAATGAGTTTACGCTTATACGAGTATTTTTAATATTTCAAAAAATACTTACAACTCAAAATTTGTTCCTCCTTGACCATTAAAGTGTTTGTAATCGATTACGGGGTTGTTGCAAATATAACACATTGTAGCTCCGCAGGAACAAGTCATCTTATTACAACCATCTGATTTAACAAACTTCAACCCACATTTATAGCACTTCCTAATAAAAAATAAGAAAATTTAAGAACGATCACTTTCAATTTCAATTATTTATATTTCTGAGTTCTTAATTTTTATTCATATATGAACACAATATTTTTAATTGCTATCAAAATTTTAATTAATATCAAAGGGCGTTTTTTTTGCCGCTTTCATTGGTAAAAAATATACTATTTTTAACTGAAAATAGCTTTTGACCGTTTTGTCCATGAACCGAGAAATTGATCAGTATTATTATTATATATTATATGATTACTATTCCTAATTTCCATTTTCTGAAAAAATCGACTACGACAGGACACGTGAATAGTCCTACGTATGGGTTTCGCTTTCCCTTTGAGGCACGAAACACTAAAAATGAAATTGCAAGCATGTACCTTATTAATGCTTCCGCCATTTTGTTCTCAATATAAATGCGAGCTTTCACATCTTCATCTTTTTCAACTTCCTCACAACGTAGAGGAACGTGAGATGGTTCTTTACACTCGCGGCAAGACTCTTTCATACAAGACGGATTGAGGCATCGGAACAGTTTGTCCTCTTTTGCTGGAATACTCACGAAATCGCAGAAGGGACAACTTTCGATATCTTCTATACCAGCTGCTTTAACCTCTTCCACTTGCTTTTTAAGGGCTATCTTTGAGAATATTTTCGGATTCAACACGTTCTGCAAAAGATGCCCGTAAATACTATTTGATGCATGAAATATTAATCATATTAGTAAATTAGTCTAAATGCCCTTAAATAATTACATATGTACATATATCGTAAACCAAAAAGTACCCAGTAAACTCATTGTGACCAAAAATTTTTTCAGAAAAAAATTAAAGTAAAGTTTTTCCATATAATTTTAAAATAGCTACCGTTTTTTAAGCTCATATGATTATTTGTATGCGATTAAGACCACAGAGATAATATACATTCAGTAGGAAAACCAATCAAAAATGCCATATATCACTAGAGACAAAAAATAAATGTACCATACCTATCTCTTTTCATTTCGAGCATTATAGTGACATTAACGACTTACGACACATTTTTTATGTCCTTACGTTATAAATAGGTATTTTTTATTTGCATTTTAAATGGAAACAATTTTTTTAAAAAAGAAAACATGATTCTTTGGATTAATCTATTCACTATTTTTTAAGGGTCACATCATGTATATATTGCTTATGAAGATCAGTGACGAATTTAGAAAAGTAATTTTTGATTTCCGTTTTGACCTCATTCGAAAACAATTTCATGTTATAGACTAATACTAGTTAAAGTTACTTGCTCTAACGAGGGCAACATTTATACAAAAATATGCAACTTTATTTAGACTGGGACAGATTTGTCAAAACTTGCCAATGACTCATGGATATTAGACTAGCAGGATGTCGTACAGTAATCTTTATTCCCATTGATTATACAATTTGTACAATATACAATGCATCAACTTACTTTCTATCATCTAACTTGCCTGATAGAATTCGTATAAAAAATAAAAATATTTTTTTATTAAAATATTTTTAACTTCTCAGTATATAGGAAAGTTACGAGGGTGGATTGATAAGTACTGTTTGCGTAGTTATTGATAAGTAACAGAGATGTGATTTATTTAAAATACTTGCATTCAAAATGCAAATACAAAATAAAAAATACCTATTTTTATCTTGCATTTAAATACTTTTTTGAGAAAAGCATTTTGTATTTTATATAAAAAACTTTTCCAAACGTATTTTCTATTTGTAAAATGCAAAATACATTTTTGCTGTTAAAAGTTTTGCTAGTATAACCGACCAAACATTATATACAAAGATGAATGAAAGTTGCTCACATTGGCCATTGAAGGTATTAGAAACTTAAAAAAGGGACAAAGAGACATTCCATGAATGCCTTCTAATTCTTTATGTGAAGAGAGCCCTAAAAAAATTATAAACTCCTTGGAAATGGATAATTCAAAATATTAGATGGATATTTTTTTCCGGGTTGAATGTCATGGTCCATGTAAAGTTCCAAATTAATATCAGCACCTGTCAAATCACCACTTATCGTACCTTTAGCAAGAAACTACGAAATTCTATGAATTACGACAAAACAGCCCGCAAAACAATATCGAATTGATATACTTACGTCAGCTGTGTAAAACTGAAAACTACAAGATATTGTGGTGTGCTAATGAATGCGTATAACCCAAAATTCAAAACTAGAAACTATGGATTCCATTTCTTTCTCTTATTACAATGTGCACACCATTAACTATTGGTCTAGAAAAACTCCAACATCTAAAAAATGAGCAAATGTCTGCAAGTTTTTCTTAAAAAATATTTTTTCTTAAGTAAATGTAGGAAATTAAATAGGTAATACAAAAAAGTATTTATTTGAATAATTTTGAAAATACGTATTATGCATTTTGTTGCATTTCTGGAAATCTATTTTGTGTTTTATATTTGAAATAACAAATCAAAAAAGTATTTTCATTTTGTATTT